TAGTCCCAGCTACTTGGGAGGCTGAGGCAAGAGAATCACTTAAGCCCAAAAGTTTGAGGTTGCTGTGAGTTGTGATGCCATAGCACGCGACTGAGGGCAACACAGTGAGACTCTTGTCTCAAAAAAAGAAAAAAAAATTTTGCTGGGTGAGAAGAAATGAAAATTACTCAGTTGTTAACTAACCAAACCCAACCCTCAATTCACAATTCACCCCCCTAGCTGCAATAATTTGTCCAACAACAAACCAATCAGGATATGTAGTAGTTGAGTCTTCAGGACATAATGAAGCAGTGACCAGGCTTAGATGAACTTCAGTCATCCAATAAGCAACTTTCAAGTATTTCAACCAAAACAGCACATGGCAAAAAACTGAATGCAGAAGCAGATTTAAAAATGCAACTATCCTCTACGTTAAAGAGATGTGCAAAAACATAAAACAATGCCAATGTTCCCAATTATTTTCCAAAATCAACATAAATTATGTTTTTTGACATGTAAGGATTTATTATCACTTTTAAGTGGATTATATTGATAATACATAATATAAGCCTACATAAACAAAATGCTTTTTGAGGTCCAATTTTAAACGAATATAAAGGCTTCCTAAGACCATGTGTCCCTGCAGTCCACAGCTGCAGAGAAAGTATGCCCATGCAGCTCTCCTAAAAGGAGACTTTGTAAGCTGTACTTGGGTCTCCATAGAGTTTGCCTGTGCATAGTTTTTCCTGTTGGTTCTATGTTGTATCCTTTGCTGTCATAAACATCAGTAAATGAAAATGCAAAAATAGAGAAAAGCAACAAAACCTCAAGTTGACTCTTTAAAAAGGTCAAACTGACAAACCTTTGGCTAGATTGACCAAGGAAAAAGAATATCAATGAAATCAGGAATGAAAGAGATAGTACTACCAAATTTACAGCCGTAAAGAAAGATCACAAGGCAATTCTACATGTCAATGTATTAGATAACACAGATGAAAGACAACACCTCCAAAACCTCCCAAAACTGACAAAAAATAGAAATGTAAGAATCATTAACCAGGAAAACACCCACAAAGAAATGCTTAGATTCAGATGGCTTTACTAGCAAATCACACTAAAAATTTAAAGATTTAAAATCAATTCTATACAAAAAATTCCAAAACACAGGGGATGAGGAAACACTACCCTACTGAATTCTACCAGGCCGATGTTACCCTAATACCAAAACAGGAAATCACAATAAAACCACAAACCAATCTCTTTATGAATATAGACACAAATGACATAAGTAATCTTACATGTAGAAAATCATAAGGAATCAACTAAAAAGCGACTAATAGTTTGTTCAGGTTGCAGAATACAAGAGCAACATACAAAAACTATTTGTATTTATAGACGATTATAGTAATATCAAAAAGAATCCAAAACTTCAGAGTAAATTTAAAAGTAATAAAAAAATCTATACACTATTAAAAATATTGCTAAAAGAAATTAAAGACCTGAGTTGGTGCCTGTAACTAAAGTGGCTAAGGTGCCAGCCACACACACCTAAGGTGGTGGGTTCAAACCCAGCCCGGGCCCACCAAACAACAATGACGGCTGCTACCAAAAAACAAAAAAAGAAATTAAAGACCTAAATATAATGGAAACAATCCCTCACTCATGAACTAGAAGATACTATTGTGAAGATGGCAATATCGCTCAAATTGATCTACAGAGTCAAGGGAACCCTTATCAAAAATTCCAGATGGCTTCTTTGCAGAAACTGAGAATTTAATGTTTAAATTCATAGAAAAATGAAAAATGTCTAAACAATCTTCAAAAAGAAAAGTATTAGTATGGATATGGATAAATTAGAACTCTCATACGCTGCTGTATACAACTGTGCATCTACTTTGGACAATAGTCTGGCAGTTCCTCAAAAGGGTAAATGGTTTGTTACCATGACTAAGGAATTCCACTCCTGGGTATTTACTCAAAGAGAATTAAAAACACAGGTCTACAGAAACACTTGCACAGGAGTAATCAAAGCAGCACTCAAAGTAGCCAAAAAGTGAAGAGAACTCTAAGGTCTGTTAACTAATGAAAGAATAAACAGAGGTGGCATATCCACACAAAGAAATATTATCTGGCAATAAAAAGTAATACAAGTACATACAAGCTTCAACATAAATGAACCTTGAAAACATGCCAGTGAAAAAGTCACAGAAGACGGTACATCTACCAAACAATCTCAGTTATATGAATGTTCAGAATAGGTAAATCAGATACAAAAATTAGATTAATGGTTACCTAGGAATGAGTAGGTTGAGGAAAAATGGTGGAGTCACTACTACTGAGTATGGAGATTTTCTCTGGGGTTTTGTTTTTAAATTTACAGTGGTGATGGTTATACAACTTTGAACTAAAGCCACTGAAACTGTATACTACATGTAAATAGATAAATGGTATATGAATTACATCTCTAAGCAGTAGTTTAAAAAAAAAAAAAAAAACCACAGCACTTTCCTGTTATTAGCACAGACACGAGCACATGAACCAGAGTTAAACAATTTGGTAGAACAAACAGAAAAAAGGCAAGCTCTGTGCACCTTGAGGAAGGATGGGGATGGCAGGGCCTCCCATTGGAGGGAGGACAGCAGAGCTCAAAGATACAGCGTGTTAAGTCTTCAAAACTTTCTTTTGGCTTGGC